AGGAGGATTAACATCAGGAAACAAACGTATGGAAAAATATTTGAACCTGCATGGCTCTTCAGCCAGACATTATGGTGAGAAAGTCTAAATTGGACATCTCCATCAAATCTCTCTCCTCAGAGCTAAAGGGCTCCTTAGGATTAGAAGGAAAGATTCTAAGAGTTAGAGGGGATGGAGGACATCAGGAGAATACGGCCCTCTCAATCAGATAAGCAAGGGACTTTTGAGCTCACAGAGCCTAAAACAGCAAGCACAGGGCCTACATGAGTCTATACCAGGTCCTCTGCATATGTATCATAGCTATTAGTTTAGTATTCTTATGGGACTCCTGATTGTGAGAACAAGTGGGTTTCTGACTCTTGTGTCTGCTCTTGGGGCTGTTTTCCTCTTGATGGGTTGCCATGTCCAACTTTCATATGGTAGGTTTTTTTTTTTTGCCTAATTTTATTGTATTTATTTTATTTTGACATGTCTGCTTGTGTTTTAAAAGCCTGTTCTTTTCTAATGTGAGACAGAAAGGGAGTGAATCCAGGAGGAGAGGAGGTGGTAGGGAACTGGGAGGAGTAGGGTATAGGGAATTATAATCAGGATATAGTGTATAAAAATGTGGAAGTATATAATTATTAATTTTTATTGAAAAAAAAGAAAAAGAAAAATATCTAGACACTTTTGCAAAAATAATATAAGATTCCCTAGTAGACATCTATCTAATATATACAGAGGACATGGCAAATTGTTTAAAGGACAACACAGCTCAGCAGGGACACTACACATTGTAATAAGTCATGGTCTTCAGTAGAATTATTCAAATTTTGATACAGTAAAAGAATGCAATCTGTGTGCGTGTGTGTGTGTGTTCAAGAGATGCCCTTATTTGCTTTTCATTGCTGTAATAAAACACTGACCTAGACTACCAAGAACAACTTAGGGAGAGAAGAGTTCATTGGGCTTACACATCCTGATCACAGGCCATCGAGAGAAGCCAATAGAATTTTGTTGTAGAATGGACACATTGACTACAGCAGAAGAAAATGGAAGACTGTGAGGTATAAGGCAGCAGACTAGAAGGTGAGAGGTTAAGAATGCAGAAAGGGTCACTGGACAGTATGGCTTAGATATGCCATGTTCTAGGGATACCCAGACATGATTCACCGAATATAAAAGAGAAAAGTCAAGAGTCAGATAAAACCAAAGCATCAGGAAGGTAAAAAAAGGGTTGTCCAGAGAGATGCTAAATCCAGGAGCTCTCAGAAGATTTTTAGATTAACAAAATCCTCCATGAATACAAGAGCCCAGATAGATAGTCCACACCTGTGGTGGTTTGAATATGCTTGACCCAGAGAGAGGCACTACTAGGAGGTGTGACCTTATTAGAGTAGGTGTGGCCTGTTGGAGGAAGAGTGTCACTGTGGGGGTGGGCAATGAGATCCTCCTCCTAGCCACATGGGAGCGGCCTTCATGAAGATGTAGAACTCTCAGCTCCTCCTGTACCATGCCTGCCTGAATTCTGCCATGCTCTCATCTTGATAATAATGAACTGAACCTCGGAACCTGTAGGCCAGCCCCAACTAAATGTTGTCCTTTATAAGAGTTGCCTTGGTCATGGTGTTTCTTTACAGCAATGCAAACCCTAAGAGAACATCTAACTTGCAGTGGAAACTGTAATCCCTTTCTGGTAGTGTATCAGCCCTGTTTTATTGCAGCCTCTTTGCTGCTGAGACATCCTTTGACCAACTCAAGATAAGACTTTGCTGATGGTCAGATCCTCAACCTGTTATAGCAATCACCTTTTCACAAATTACATCAAATTGCTCTGTCAACTCAATAACATGGATAGAGAAGGACCCTACCAAGTTAGCTGTATATGTATCTGTAAATGTATAGTTAAGCTGCAGGTTAACCAGGTGGCTCAAAAGAGCACACGCATGTCTGGAGAGAGAGAGTTCTGGGGTGAAAGGTACTTACTCGCTCTTCCACAGATTCCAAGTTTTGTTCCCAGCATCTACATTCAGCAGCTGACAACCACCTGTAACTCTAATTCCATGTGATCCCATATCTCCTGCCTCCATGGGCACCTTCATTTAAATACACAGAGTCATACTCTCTCTCACAAACATACATACATATACATAATTAAATAATATATAGTATATATAAATAATATATAAATAACTACATCTTAAAAAATAACATATACAGGCTAGTTACAGCCTCATACAGAGGAAAAAATGGGTATCTGTACTGGAATCTAAGACAAACCAATATACAAAGAGCTCTGGTTTTGAAACAGTCTTTGTTGCTTAGGCTGGTCTAAGCTTAGATGATCTTCCTGTGTTGGTCTCTTGTATGTCTGGGTATAGTTACAGGTTTGTGTGCCTTGCTGACAGAGAAAGCTTTTACTGAAGAACACCTGGTTAGACTTGTGTCTGCCTCCTCCATTTGTGAAACACATTTGTACAGTCTAGGACTTGCAATCAAGCTTATTTTTTATGATTAATTAAAGAGGAATATCTATCTTGTGCCATATGATACAACTAATTATACTTCATATTCATGACTAAAAATGCCACAGAGTACATTTGAATGACATTAAAGATAGCTGTCACCACCATACCCCTATCCTCCTCTTTTTCTGAGTCAGTGGCAGTAAATTCTGCAATTGTTCCCTACCAAGATCATGTCATGCATCAGCCTACAGCCTCTGGCCATCTCATTTCTCTGGCCCTCATCCTCATATAGCATTTAGGAAAAGTGGTTAATACCTTGTTTGGATAAATAAGTGAAGACATTTTTCTATAAAAACAATTACAAACTAATACAAGATTAATCCCTCTTTATTCCCCCTCCTGGACTCACTAATACCTATGACATTTGCCTATTCTTGCAATTTTATTCCTTTATGTTTTTAAAAACTTAGATTAAGCTGGATACTATGGTCCTCCTCCTTTTTCTTCAGTGAACTATACATTTTTTGGCCTCTGTTTATCCTGTTGTGGGATGTGGTTAGTCACATGGAATAGGCTCTTCTGTAGCAATATGCAGTGGAAAATCCCTTTTGACAAGCCATAGCAAGTTTAATTGAGTCATGACATATTACATTAAATGGCTTCCAATGAGGCAAAGAGTCCTTTCCCTGAGGTAGCAAATGCTATCCTAGGGTTTCAACGTGACTGAGTGGTCTTACATGCCTAAGGAAACGAATTTCTTCATTTATGAAAAGTTACAGAGGTATGGAGTTTAATATTAGAGCTACTAAATTAAATTTTAAAGAGGTACATGTTCTACTAAGCTTTAATTTTCTTCAGATTTAATGAAATTCACTTTAAAAAATGTTTTTTAAAAACTCAGCACTGGATTATGGATCCATTTTTAAGTGTTAATGTTTTACTTGGTTGCTTAATGAGTCCCTTATAAAAATCCCAAATCAAGTCTTTCTTAGTTTACATTTTATTATAAAATATCACTTGTCATGTTTGTAGAAACTGTGGTGTCAAGATAATATTTCGGATTCTCTCTCACTGACTTTGCAGCCTGACACCACTGCAAATCCTGACATTCCAGTTAATGCTTTGAGGACAGAATGTGTTAGGGCTCTCAGTACTTGCAGATGATCAGCATGTAGCATCTAACTTATGAGCCTCCATCTGACTGTTCTGTAGGTGCTCCTGGGATCCGGTGATAGTGTAAGTATCATTGTCAGTCTGGAGAGGAACATCAGAAATGGGCTTCATCCTTGCTTCCAACCCCAGTGCAGTAATAAGCCAGGAACAGGAGATTGTGAACCATTGATTTGAACCAAGTAAATGAGTTGAAAATAAATTGTGCTATCTGCTCTATTTGTCCCTAAAGTCAAATTTACCTAACACATAACACAAGTAGCCCCATTCAATTGCATCAAAGAACTTCTTGGCATGTAATACAATTGTCACCATGCATTCCGATTGTCTCTTGTATTTCAGATATGTTATATTAGCCTATGCAGATGATCTGATGGTTCTCACCAGGCATATAGGCTTCTTGAAGAAAGCTCTATTAGGCCTTGATTATTTATTCATGTACCATGTATACAGGTAGGCATTTTTTATACCTACCTACATTATATGAAAGCGTATTTTTTATAGTACCACTGGGGGAATAATATGTAATTTAAGTATAAGGTTAAATGGATATATGTAATGGGATAAAGAATAGTAGGGCCACCTTGACTCCAAACCACAAATAGTATCTTATGCTTTAAAAATTCAGTACAAACCATTTAAATGCATTACATTTATTCTTGGTCTATTTGTGAAACTAGAGGCTGTTCAGTGTGCTGATGGCAGAGTGCAGTTAATGTTGGTAGGTGACCTAAATTTTATGAAGCTGTTTTGAAAGTGACTTCATGCCACAGAAAGCAGCATCTATTACTCCTCAGTTTTCGGTTGACATTGCAAGGCTGCCCAAGGATCCATTCTCCAGCTCACCATCTGTAACAGAGACGGAGGCACAAAATACCTCCATGGGGGAATCCTCAGTATTACAATCACAAGGCATACTTCCTCAGACTAGGACTGAAATATTTCAAAGGCTTTTCTTCCCCATGTACTGTCCAAGCATTTGATGCTCTGGGAATAGAGAATTGTGCATAAACAGAAAACTGAATAGTGGCGAACAGGCATAAAGGCAGCCACTAATCTTGAAGATCATACAATCCATACTGAGTGAGACAACACAGTGACAGTAGGAAGGGCTGGCAATGAAGCCAGATTGAATCTGAGTTCTCTTCTTAAGTTGGCAGTGTCCTTGACAAACACACAACACTGGGCTTTGCTTCCCTCATTTACAGAGAAGAATACAAACTCATTACCAGTGGCTGTTCATTTGGTTGCTTGCTTGTTTTGAGACAGTGTCTCCCCTTTGTGGCGAGCCACTGGCAGGCCTCTGTCTCCCAAAGGCTGATTTACTGACACCTATCACCACCATTCCTGGCCATAGTTATAAACAACAAAAAAGGCATCATAAATACTTAAATCAAGCATTTAATGTTCAATAAATATTTGCTGTTTTGTTACAATCATCTTAATAATAAAGCCAATGAATATATGTAATGAGACATGATTTTCATCAATCCCAAGACAATCAAGTCCAATACCACACCTAATGTTCATTTTAAGTTTCATAACACACTCAACAGTTGTACTGTGAAATTTTACATCGTGGTTAACTTATACAAAAGCACTTTTAAAACTACAAAATCCAAAGACAGGAATTCAAACAGAAAAACAAACCACTACTTCAAACTAAAACAAACAAAACCCTTTTCTGTCATTAATCTTCTGTAATTACTGAATACATTTGATTGGCCCAAGAGATATACATTTACTATAAACACACTGGTCAGATATATTTTAACATATTGATGAGAACAAAAATAGGATCATGATTTTTCCTAGGCTGTCCATTCATTCGACTCCAGTTACACAGGTGTGCAAAACAAAAAGTATGTAATGAGTGGCTTGATGAACAGAACGGAACAATACTACTCGGCATCAGTGGAATTTTGTGCTTCCACAGTTGACTTTTTAAACTAATTATGGGCTTGAAAGATGGCTCAGCAGTTAACAGCATTTATGGCTTTCACAGAAGACGAGCGTTTGATTCCAAGCACCCATATATTGTTTCATACCCATCTATATCTCAGTTCTGGAGGATCTGAAGCCCAGTTCTGACTTTCTCAGGCAACAGGTATGCACATGGTATGCAGACATACATGTTGCCAAGACATTCATACATACAAAATAAGATGAAGTAAATAAACAAATCTTAATAAAAATAAAAGGCTAATTTCCAACTTCAAGTATGCTTTGTAGTTTTCTCTCCTGCACTAACCTTCCCTCCTTCCCTCTGTCCTCCCTACATTGTCCTTAAGGAGGGTCTTGATAGGCAGCCCAGGCTGACGTAAATTTACAATTCTTCTACGTCAGCCTCAAAAGTGCTTTGATTACAGGTGTGCACTGCCATGTCTGCCACTATGATTTTTCTTAATAGTTGGAAAAATGTTTGGATCCAAGTGAAGCCTTGCTAAAGAAAAATCTATGATTGAAAATTGATTTTTAAAAAATCCCAAGTATAAATATAGAAGCACACACAAAATTCTGGGGATATGTATAAATAGCGACCACTCTGAATGGTTTGGGGTCTTGGTAATGAATAATTAACTCTTACTAGGCATCTTCTACATTAATATGTGACATCACATTCTCATATAACATTTTATAACCAAGTGAAATAAAATGCCCCTCCAGATTGCAACTGTAAGATAATCAGTTTCTGTAGTACTCATTATGACTGCAATTATGCAACAAAACACTCCAAATATAGTTCAGTTATTGCCATTATTAATCATTCTGGTTTTGTTTCAAGTGCTTGCTTTATAGCCTGCTGGATAGACTCCATTATTCTACAAGCTGAATGTCGAAAGTCAAACTCATGCGTGTGAATCTGTTGTTCTAAAGGCCTTTCAACATAATTTACCCTTTCAATTTGTATTTGTGAATAAAAGAAAATGGGGAGAAATAAAGCTGGTGTCAATAGAGTCACTGACCTTTGCAGTAAACAGAAGACAGTCCTTAACACAAAACAACTTTGCAAATAAGAAACCTATTTTGTTCGAACTAGAAATTGTGCTGCTTAAGAAGTTTAGCCTTGGAATACCAATTATTCTTACAGAATGAATCTGCAGATATGATGAGGAAACAGTAAAAGTGTTGGCAAATATACATTTTGAAAGGAAAGATTTAGAACACTCATGTTATAAAATTCGGTACTAAACATTGTATGCACAGAACTCAGTATTCTAATTAATTTAACTATGAAATCCCAATTAAAAGACAAAAAAATGTTCTACAGAACCAATACCATCTGTCCCATATTAAATCACCACTATACATATATTTCAAGGAGCAAATTATACCTGAAAATTTCTTAAGCCTATGCTCAGTGAGGCTGAAATACTAACAGGATCCAAATGGTCCTAGGGAAAGTGACTGTAAGTATTTAAAAACTAACTGTAGAGGCGGTTTTGATGTTAAGATTCTGTTCCCCAATTGGTTCTTGATCGCTCAGTAAAGAAGTCATGGGCCAATTGCTGCTGGCTGGAAGGAATAGGCCGGACTTCTGGGTCCCTGGAAGAAAAGAGACAGAAGCAAGGAAGGAGAGACAGAGTTCACTGGTCTTCTGATGAAGAAAAGTTGACCAGCCATATGAGATCTCAAAATGAAATGGCCACACAGGCTGCTCTTACAGGGTGGTCGGGGAGTTTGGCAATTAATGTTTAGAGCAGGTGGAAGATTTGGAGCTAAGAGTATTGATAAGAGCATGATTTTCCAGATAGGAGATTCTAGTGCCAGCGATTGTGCCAAGAAGGTAAGTTGAAAAGGGACAAGCAAGTATGTGTGTCTTTTATCTGTGGATTCAAGGGAAGCTGAGCCAAGGCTGGTAGTGTGGCCCATTCACAGAACTAAGGCAGTGTAGCTAAAAGCAACACATAACTAACACTTGGTGAGCTCAGAAAATATACATACAATAACATATCAGCATGGCTTAAAAAACTCACCTTCCCATTTTCACATACTCATGTCTTTTTTCAATTTGGCTATATACATTGGGCCCCAAGCTTTGCCTTTTTCAGGAATCACCAAAAGGCTGCATTTCTGGCCAGTGGGGGCAAATGTGAAGTCTTCAGAGAAAGTCCTTGCTATCCCACTAATATCCACAGGTACGATATTACTGTTGGAAGTTAAGATCTCACTGACCACATCTTGATTTTCAGCCTTGGAAAGTGTGCATGTAGAGTACACCAGTAGCCCTCCAGGACGTAAGGCTTTAACTGCAGACCTGTGTGTAATGGGGAAAAGGAAGAGATGAGTTAGGTACAAGAAGCAAAATAGGGGATCTGAGTCAAGGAAACTACATACCAGCCTTACTCTGACACAGGCTACAGTAACTGGTGGTTTTCTGACCCTAGTCATAGCTTGTTTGCATTTATCATTGATGAATGGGAAATGGTAACCAGAAAAATCAAGATGGAAAAGTCAGAGAAAGTGGCTGATGGTTTGTTCTTTTAAAGATAGGGAGAAGGGGAAAGAAAAAGGATAATGTGTTTGCCTTTTGAATCATAGAATTAAAATAGGAAGCAAACACTTTAATTAAAAAGAGACAAAATAAATCACTGATCTTACTTTATACACTCCAGGTTTGCCTATCATGTAAAATCAGAAGGTATTCATCTAGGAACTAGGGATAAATAATTTGTGGGCCTTTTAGGCAGCTGTGGTGGGCCATTCCTCAAACCAAAGACCTTTGCACTCTATCTTAAAGGGATCTTCTAGAGCAGTGGTTCTCAAAGTTCCTAAGGTTGCAACCCATTTATTCAGCTCCTCATGCTGTGATGATTCCCAATCATAAAATTATTTTCATTGCTACTTTATAACTGTAATTTTGCTACTATTATGAATTATAATGCAAATATTTTTGGAGGTACAGGTTTGCCAAGGGGGTCACGATGCACAGGTTGAAAAACCACTCCTCTAGAGTAAGGAATCAGCTTACCATAGTGTGATATTAGCAGAAAAAAGCTTCTACCTTTACAATAAACCTCCTGTACATTGTTGTTTTATTATAAATTAAAAAGGTACAACCAAGGGCACCCAAGAAATGATTGGTGAATATATAAGAAAACGAACACAAAAACAGCAAAAATATGGCCTAGGAAGAAACTGACAATTCAGGCAACAAAATGACACAATAAACAGAGAGATCAGCAAAGATGGGTTATTCAGTATCATAAAAAAACAGGAAGAAGATAGCTCATAGACATTTAATATATGTTTATGCAAATAAGGAAGATTCTGTAGAAGCATTTGGAAATTAAAAGTCAGCATATCCCCTACCCCTCATCTTCAAAGTGGAACAACAGATAGAGTCAAAATAAGATCAAGCAAGCTTGTCCAAAAATTCAATTAACAAAATTGGGAAAATAATATACAAAGTTTTGGCAATAGAAGTTGAATTAATATAATAGGAAGATAACTCTGCAGAAATAAGACAGAGAAATGACTCATCCAAGAGGCTAGCACACTCATTATTATTCATGTAACATCTATTATATGCTGGTTGTCTAGGTATTGGACATGTATCAATGACAATATGAACACTAACAATTTAAAACACTTCCTACCAGGTGTGTTGTCTTACACCTCCAATTCTAGCACTGGAAACTCTGAGGAAAGAGAATTGCTATGAGTTTGAGGCAAGCCTTGGCTACATAGTGAGTACCAAGCAAGTCAGGTTTACACAGACAGGCTACCCTGTTGTAAAATGTCTCAGGGAAAACCACACTATATCCAATAAGAAATGTTCTGCCCTGAAAACACACATATACAAGTAACACTGTATAGTCTGACTAGGCTATGTTTTTAAATTTAGGAACATACAGGTATGTAAGAACAAGTAAAGAAAGAGACCTTGTATTTGAAAGAGAGCAAGGTGGAGTTATATGAGAGGAAGAAAATGGAAGGGGGTATTATATAACTTAATACTAATATAATAATATAACATATAATATATATAATATATTATAGTACTATATTATATATTAGTATATGTATAGTAATATATATTAACAATACATATAGTTATTATATATATGTATATATACATATATATAGCATAAATATATATTAGTCTCAAAATAATTTTAAAAATTTCCCCTGTGTCCATTATCTCTCAGTGGAGGGAGGAGAAACTGTAGTTGGGATGTAATGTATGAAAGAGGAATTTTTTAAAAATTATCAAAAAATAAAAAATCTAGAGACCTGGGGGAAGGGAAGCCTTTGTTTTCACAAATAGCAAATTCTTACAATTATCCCAGGGAGAGCAGCTATGGAAAGCTGAGTAGTCCAATGAATGAACTGAGTCCCTTGTACAATGGTGTGTAAACACACTTTGTCTTTCTATGGAACTGAGTTGGGAAATGGGCTCTTTAATGAGATAACTGACTTGAAACCCAATCATTAGAGAGGATACACTATTCAAATTTAGCTGATATTGTTATAGGAAGAAATTAAATACAGAGTTACAGAGAAAGGAACATGTAAGCAATAGGAAAAGAAGTTCTGCAATCATGGAACAAGGCTTCAGAAGAACCCAGTCCTATCAGTGTCTCTGAAGGATGTATAACCTGTCTGTCACCTGTCAGAGATAAAGTACTTCTCAAGCTACTCAGTCAGCTGCACTATGCCATGGTGTACCATGGTGGGAAATGTAACTCTAAGTAAGACTAAATAACAACTGGGCCAAGCAGATGTGTGAAGGATGCACATTCTACATGGCAGACATAACCATCAAAAGTCTCTAAGGCATGGCCAAGGAAAGAGGACAGCTGTGTGGCTAAAGGCAGGGAAGACAGAAGGGTTATCATGAGATGAGATCAGACAGAAGTGCAGAAGAGCCTGCGACTGCTGCATAAACTTCCCATGTACATTTGCATTGCAATACATCATTGCTAAAGGTTAAAAAGCTGAGAATATAGGAAGGCAATAAATGCCTCCAGAAGGAAAAAGGAACACTAAGAAATGGGTCATATCAGCATTCAGAAATCGGGCTGACAACAGTGGATATCAAGTGAATTCCATTTGCAGCTGACCCTTAAAAAATATCCAGGCAGAATACAGAAATGCTCTGATATCTCTAAAATTCTTCCTCTAGCAAACAGAAGAGATAAGTCAAGGAGGCAAAATAGAACCCATAACGGAGTAAATACAATATGGACAGTGAAGAGCAGGGAGCCTCAGAGAAAGAGCAGTGAGTGAACTTTGGAGCAAAGCCTCTTTAGGCTGCAGAGAGGGAGGTCTCCACGAAGAGTGACTGACAGGTAAGAAAAACCTGAGGTCTGCCCTGCACAGCTGGGACAGAAAGTTGCTGCTCCCACCTCGTTCATTCAAGGAAAATTCAGTAATATTCCTATATTAAAATTGAACTAACAGAAAGAGAAATTTACTTTTAACACATTACCCAAGTCTACAATAAATTATATTTTTATAGAGTTAAACAACATATACACTTTACTGATTCTCAATGTTCAGAATCACTCAATGGACCCATATTAGGATAATGTCTTGGATTGTAGATAAAACCTCAGAAGGAATAGTACCAAGGTTGACAACTATGAACATGAAAACAACATCGAAAGGTACTGAAGAATAAATGAGAGGGAGATACTTGTGGCAACGTCGACATACAAAGATGCTTATTGTAGGAAAAGAGAGGAGGCATTGTCTTTGATTATTGGAAAGCAGACAGACAGACAGACAGACAGACAGACAGACAGACAGACATTAACCAGTAGTAGACTAGGAAATGGAGGTCTTGGAGCTGACTCTGGGAGAAATGGGTAATTTGGTGCCCAGGTATACTCTACTCAGTGTCAAATCAAATCAACAGTCACAGGATGACTAAGGATGCAGGGTCATTGTTATGATTTGTATATGCTCGGCTCAGGGAGTGGCATTATTAGAACGTGTGGGTAGGCATGGAACTGTGGGTATGGGCTTAAGACTGTCATCCTAAGCTGCTTGAAAGTCAGTATTCTGTTAGCAGTCTTCAAATGAAAATATAGAACTCTCAGCTCCTCTTTCACCATGCCTGCATGGATGCTGCCATGCTCTGATCTTGATGATAATAGACTGAACCTCTAAACCTGTAAACTAGCCCCAATTAAATGTTGTCCTTATAAGAGTTGCCTTGGTCATGGTGTCTGTTCACAGCAGTAAAACCATAACTAAGACAGTCATGTAAGTGCTATAAATACCAGCAGCAGGTTAGTAGTCAGTGCCTAAAATCTCTAAAAGAATAACATTATTTAGAGATCTGGGATATTCTTTAGCGACTTGGCAGTGACCTGGAGAATAAATTAAGAAAAGAAATATGGGAAAGGCATTGCTTCTGAAAGCATAGGAGGAATTGTGGCAGGAGGAGAGAGAACATGTAACTACACACTTAATCGTATTTCTAGATTTTTACCTATATGGTTAGTTTTAATGATACAACAAATGACAGGGGAGATTTACCAGAAGGATAAGTATCTAATTTTCCCACAGTCATTAGTAGTTTTTGTATAAATTCTGATTATTAGGTGATAACTTAATCTCCAAACGGCCTATCCCCTGAAATCCCAGACAGGTAACATTTTCTAGCACCTAGACTTTGTAGACTTCCCAGGCATTCCTTTGCTGAGTAAGTGTATTGTTCATACAGAGTTGGGGAATTAAAATGACAAACAGCAGTGGCAAATGGCAAGGAACATTTGATGGGAGTCTCCAATGTTCTGCCTAAGATTTTGACATTAATCTAACTTGTATTTTTTAAAAAGCGTTTGTGTTATTCCCCAGGATTTCTTTTTACAGAAATTAATGTGGCCAGCAAAGTTATGCCAACCTAAGTTTAGAAGATAAATTATGGATGCTGGAATGAAAACAAAGCAGAAGAATCAGCCAATACTACAACATTATAGAAATTAATTTAAATTTGCATCAAGCCAGGAACATATTGTTTATAAATGGTGAGGCTTCTGTGTCCCTCTGTGCAACGTAAATGAGAGGGGGAAAAACCCTCACCCTTATGTGATTAAGTACCATCATTGTGACCCATTTAAGTTAAGACTAAAATAGTCCTTTTAATGGGAGTTTAAAGATATCTACATTCAATACTGCATTTATCTTGTGCATAGTGACTATCTAATGGATTTTTAAAAGTTGTACTCCTACTGCCATAGTCAGTAGAAAATGATCACATATAAGTATGAATCTAGTAACATTCTGGTAAGATGAAAACACAAT